GTCCACAAATATCCTGGCATAAAGTATAAAACAAAACAAAGACAAACATTTAACAATAGACAAATTTTGTACAGACGACTGTCGATACATGTGGTCGCCATCTTGCCACACCTCAAGATGACGACTTGTGGTTGTTAAATTAGAATAAAATGTTTGTTTTCCTCTAGTGTCCCAAAATTCAGGGTTCCTCATGTACAAAGTGGAAACCACACAGAAAACAACCAGTCGCCATTCAACTTCAGACATATCTAGGGTTTTATTCAGACAAATTAAATGCATAGAAAAACAGATCAGCATCACATCCAAACCGTCAAGAAGCCCAAACCATAAAACAGACATTAATTACCTGAGAAAAGTAGAAAAATGAACAAAATACAAAAATAGGAGAAAAACAAAGGCGCCTTTGGGAATCACTCGTGCGGCTGCAAACAAAGCAGTTCAATTTGCTCCTGTGAAGTGGAGGTTTTTATTAAGAGGTGTATTCCTAATTTTAATATATGCATTGAAGGTGTGTCCTCTCTTTCTGAACCTTTAAACAGTTTCAAATTACTTGGACAGGATGGGAGACCTATTCAAAACCAAAGAGAAAGAGAAAGTCACTCTCAAGACAGGATGTTCTCATGCCAGTTACATCTGGAGTCTCCCAGTTCCTCCCTTCCTAAACATTTGCACAAAGACCCTAATTACATAATAAAGAGATTTATTTTTCACCTAGACCTTACTCGTTTTCCTGCCTGAGCGATTCCCAAATACTAGTTTTGTTTTCTCAAGATGTTAGTGTTCTTCTGACCTCATAGAAAACACCAACGGATTTGACCTGGTAGTAAACAGAAGTTATCTCTCCCGTCCTGTTTTCCCCCATTACTTTTGTTGTTGTGAACTGCCGAGCACAGCACATCTGTTTCGTCTGTTAGGGGAAAATATTCTCTACTGAAGGCCCTTTTCAAAACCCTGTTAGTGATTTTATGTCAGTTAATAAAATCTGTCATTTTAAATTGAATCATTATCCAAATCTACCTAAATTAAAATCTACTCAAAATATTCATGCTCTAATATTTCACATGCTCCAAGGTTAACTGTTGCTAAAACCAATATAATCAAACTTGTCCCCAACTACATATAGTTAAGTTCAAATACTATCACATTTTAAATTTATTTTCCTAACATGGTCTAAAGAGCCACAAGTTGCTTATTCAGAGTTAACTAAAAATAAATAAAAA